AGTAAAACTCTCACATAGCTTTAATCTCTAGGTTATTTATGTCATTAAAGTTTATTGACAATCCTGAAGAATACACCTTAAAAAACTCAAAAATACACAAGTATTCATTCTACAAACCATTAGAGCAATGATACGAACACATGCTATGTAGCATCTGGAAAATGCCAAACACACAGAAGAGAACATTAAGTACCCAAAGCAAACAACACCTTAGTGTGGTCATGAAGACAGATAACAATCTTGAGATCTTTAAGGGGACCACATTTGGCTCTTGGTCACATTTTAACTTAAGTTAAAATAAGCTTCAAATTGGAAAAAAATTGTAGTTTTCTATTTTCCTGCATGTTAAAACTATTAGGAAGTAAGAAAATATAGAGAAGGGAAGGAAAGTAATTTGGTAGTAGTTACAAAGCAATTGTGAATAAGAAACAATTTCCACTTACAATGAAAAAACATTTCTTCTCTCTCTTTCTCTGCCTCTCTCTGTGTGTCTTTATCTCTGCCTCTCTGCCCCTCTCTGCCCCTCTCTCTCTCTCTCTCTCTCTCTCTCTCTCTCTCTCTCTCTCTCTCTCTCAAGGTAATGAGGTTTTGAACAAACATGTTTCCTGTTATTCTGTTTCTGCCACAAAGGTCCTTGGAAACTGTAAACAATAAATTATTTCCATATATAAAGGAAAATCTATTCCTTCCTGTTATTTTCTTCCATAGTGATTATCTCTGCCAACCTGATGTAGATTTTTTTAAAAATTCTACATAGAGGACATAAACACCACATAAATGATCAATTACCCTTCATCTTTAATTCCATCCTTGTTAATAAGAAAAAGAATAAGGGGGGAAAGTTCATTACAGTTTGATGACTCAGAAGCAAATTAGTTAAATAGAATAAGTATTTTGTAAGAATGGAGGTTGCATCTTATGATTCACATACTTCTTCCATAGTATTTAACAGTCATTACTTACAGCTTGATGTATTTTAGGAGTGGCTTAAAGCTAAATGAAAGTAAAAGCACCAAATAGACACGTCTCTGCTATTCCGAAAGTCTGAGGAAATCCGAGGACAATGCCAGTTCACATACTGCAGGTTGGGAATCTGTCAAATCTACTTTTACCTTCATGATCCTGATTCTATCTAAAGTTCTGATTCATTTTCTCCACTGATTAAAGAACTGCAGACAGAGCAGGTTTACTTGAAAGCAGAAGAACCAGCGAAAGAATTAAGGAAATGGATTCCTTGTTCAGGAGGGGCACCAGAGGTGTCGCTGAGTCTCCTAGACAGATAAGACCCTTTACCTTCATCCATCCCTTTAGGGTCTGGTCTGATTGGTGGAGGGGTGGATATGCATTGTGGAGAGTCTCATGATGGTTCCCTCATCTCAACCTGGAGCTGGTCTCAGCTCCATCTTTTTCCTAGCCAAAGAGGCCTAACTTCCCTTCAATCCCACAACCAGATTAAGATTAACAACAGGTCTGCAAAGCCTCTGAAACTCAAGTCTTCAGAGTTGAGCTCTACTTCCGACTGCAATTAGATGTATTCTTCATTTTAGTTGACAGAGATCAGTTTTGTTCCTAATCCACATAAATCAAAATCAGAACCACAAAGATAAAGGAGGGGGAAAAAAACCCACAACAAAACAGACTTCTCACGAACGTTTGCATTCTCACAGACAACATCCGGGTTCCTTCTCAAATCTGTTCATGTAAGCTCTGCAGGAAAACTGACAATTCAAAGCATGCCTGAACTGTAACCCCACAGGGCACTGGTAGCTCAGGAGGCTGAGATCTGAGGATCATGGTTTGAAGCCAGAATGGGCAGGAAAGTCTCTAAGACTCATCTCCAATTAACCACCAGAAAACCAGAAGTGGAACTGTGGCTCAAAGTGATAGACCACTCCCTTGAAAAGTAAAAAAAGCCCAGGGACAGTGACCAGGCTAAGTTCAAGCCCCATGACCAACAAAGCAAACAAACAACAAACCCACAAACAACAACAAAGAAGCCATGTAACTTATGGGCTAGGAATGTGGCTTAGTGGTAGAGTGCTTGCTAGCATGCATGAAGCTCTGGGTTTGATTCTGCAGTATCCATAAACAGAAAATGCTGGAAGTGGTGCTGTGGCTCTAGTGGTAGTGCTAGCCTAGAAACAGTGCCCAGGAACAGTGCCTACCTTAGGAACAGTGCCCAGGCCCTGAGTTCAAGCCCCAGGACAGGCAAAAGCAAAAATGAAACAAAACAAAAACTGTAACTCCTCTGTATATCACCTTTATATTAAGAAAAAAATTAAAAAGAAAGATGATTAGCACCACTTGGGAGAGACAATTCATACTATGAGACTCACAAAGCACAGTTCTGGTATAAGAGAATTTCCAGAAGGCATTAACTAAGAAGAGATCAACACACCTTGAATGTTGGCACCATTTCAGAAACCAGGGGTCCAGATGCAACTATAAAGGGAAAAATATTTTCCAACTAGCAAACCACAAGAAGGAAAATAATGAAATAAAAAGAAAGGGAAGGAAGAACACAGTGTAGGAGACATAAAATGAAGAAACAATATAACCAAATATGCAAGTAATTGCAGCACATGTATAGTTCCCTTGGTAAGATAAAATACTTAAAAGCAGTAAATGAAAGTCAGTTCCATCTACTTATCAAAAAAGCAATAATTTATTCAAAATATACATAAAATAAAATTCACAAGGATTGGAGTGACTTACCATAGCCATGCAGGTGCACAGCTGAGATTTTCTATCAGTATAACACATACCACTTTACTGCAAGAATCTCAGTTAACTAATATTCTCCAGTTGGTAACATTCTCAGGATCCATTTTTGTTTGGTTTTTGGTTTTTCAGTGATACTGGGGTTTGAACGTAGGCATTTTACTGCTGAGTCATACCTCCAATTCTTTGTTGCACGGAATTGTTTTTGAGATACGGTCACTTCCTGACCAGGTTTGTGCCTAGAATGTGATCTGCCTACTTATATTTGCCATGAAGCTAGTATGAAAGACCATTGCCACTATATCCAACCATTAGACAAGAAAGGGTCTTGTACAAAGGAAGGGATGACACTGACCAGGAATCATTGTACTCAAAACTTGACATAGAAGTGTAACCCCTTTGGGAAGTGGCCGCTGTGGCTCAAGTGGGAGAGTGCTAGCCTTGAGCTGAAGAGCTGAGGGACAGTGCCCAGACCCAGAGTTCAAGCCCCACGATGGAAAGAAGAAGAAGAAGAAGAGGAGGAGGA